TTTTTTTAATCGCAGTTTCGCCAAATCAAGGCGTAGAGTTAAAAGACCGACTGTTTTGAGCAGCTTGCTTTCTAAGCTAACGATCGCAATCAGTTAAGGGTAAAATTTTTTTTTGACCAATTTTCGCATTTTTTTGAAGGGTTGCGTCATCTATTTTTGCAAAAAATGGCATAAATAAAAAATTATAAATTTTACATTTTTTGGCGGTTTTTTAATCACAGTTTCGCCAAATCAAGGCGTAGAGTTAAAAGACCGACTGTTTTGAGCAGCTTGCTTTCTAAGCTAACGATCGCAATCAGTTAGGGAAAATTTATTTTTTGACCAATTTTTTTTTTTGCGTCATCTATTTTTGCAAAAAATGGCAAAAATAAAAAATCTAAAATTTTACATTTTTTGGCGGTTTTTTAATCGCAGTTTCGCCAAATCAAGGCGTAGAGTTAAAAGACCGACTGTTTTGAGCAGCTTGCTTTCTAAGCTAACGATCGCAATCAGTTAGGGGAAAATTTATTTTTTGACCAATTTTCGCATTTTTTTGAAGGGTTCGTCATCTATTTTTGCGAAAAATGGCAAAAATAAAAAATCTAAAATTTTACATTTTTTGGCGGTTTTTTAATCGCAGTTTCGCCAAATCAAGGCGTAGAGTTAAAAGACCGACTGTTTTGAGCAGCTTGCTTTCTAAGCTAACGATCGCAATCAGTTAGGGTAAAATTTATTTTTTGACCAATTTTCGCATTTTTTTGAAGGTTTGCGTCATCTATTTTTGCAAAAAATGCAAAAATAAAAATCTAAAATTTTAAATTTTTTGGCGGTTTTTTAATCACAGTTTCGCCAAATCAAGGCGTAGAGTTAAAAGACCGACTGTTTTGAGCAGCTTGCTTTCTAAGCTAACGATCGCAATCAGTTAGGGTAAATTTATTTTTGACCATTTTCGCATTTTTTTGAAGGGTTGCGTCATCTATTTTTGCAAAAAATGGCAAAAATAAAAAATTCTAAAATTTTACATTTTTTGGCGGTTTTTTAATCACAGTTTCGCCAAATCAAGGCGTAGAGTTAAAAGACCGACTGTTTGAGCAGCTTGCTTCTAAGCTAACGATCGCAATCAGTTAAGGGAAAATTTATTTTTTGACCAATTTTCGCATTTTTTTGAAGGGTTGCGTCATCTATTTTTGCAAAAAATGGCAAAAATAAAAAATCTAAAATTTTACATTTTTTGGCGGTTTTTTAATCGCAGTTTCGCCAAATCAAGGCGTAGAGTTAAAAGACCGACTGTTTTGAGCAGCTTGCTTTCTAAGCTAACGATCGCAATCAGTTAAGGGGAAATTTATTTTTTGACCAATTTTCCCATTTTTTTAAGGGTTGCGTCATCTATTTTTGCGAAAAAATGGCAAAAATAAAAAATCTAAAATTTTACATTTTTTGGCGGTTTTTTAATCGCAGTTTCGCCAAATCAAGGCGTAGAGTTAAAAGACCGACTGTTTTGAGCAGCTTGCTTTCTAAGCTAACGATCGCAATCAGTTAGGGTAAAATTTATTTTTTGACCAATTTTCGCATTTTTTTGAAGGTTTGCGTCATCTATTTTTGCAAAAAATGGCATAAATAAAAAATTATAAAATTTTACATTTTTTGGCGGTTTTTTAATCACAGTTTCGCCAAATCAAGGCGTAGAGTTAAAAGACCGACTGTTTTGAGCAGCTTGCTTTCTAAGCTAACGATCGCAATCAGTTAGGGTAAAATTTTTTTTTTGACCAATTTTCGCATTTTTTTGAAGGGTTGCGTCATCTATTTTTGCAAAAAATGGCATAAATAAAAAATTATACAATTTTACATTTTTTGGCGGTTTTTTAATCACAGTTTCGCCAAATCAAGGCGTAGAGTTAAAAGACCGACTGTTTTGAGCAGCTTGCTTTCCAAGCTAACGATCGCAATCAGTTAGGGGAAATTTATTTTTTGCGTCATCTATTTTTGCAAAAAATGGCAAAAATAAAAAATCTAAAATTTTACATTTTTTGGCGGTTTTTTTAATCGCAGTTTCGCCAAATCAAGGCGTAGAGTTAAAAGACCGACTGTTTTGAGCAGCTTGCTTTCTAAGCTAACGATCGCAATCACTTAGGGGAAAATTTATTTTTTGACCAATTTTCGCATTTTTTTGAAGGGTTGCATCATCTATTTTTGCGAAAAATGGCAAAAATAAAAAATCTAAAATTTACATTTTTTGGCGGTTTTTTAATCGCAGTTTCGCCAAATCAAGGCGTAGAGTTAAAAGACCGACTGTTTTGAGCAGCTTGCTTTCTAAGCTAACGATCGCAATCAGTTAGGGTAAAATTTATTTTTTGACCAATTTTCGCATTTTTTTGAAGGTTTGCGTCATCTATTTTTGCAAAAAATAACAAAAATAAAATATGTAAAATTTTAAATTTTTTGGCGGTTTTTTAATCACAGTTTCGCCAAATCAAGGCGTAGAGTTAAAAGACCGACTGTTTTGAGCAGCTTGCTTTCTAAGCTAACGATCGCAATCAGTTAGGGTAAAATTTATATTTTGACCCATTTTCGCATTTTTTTGAAGGTTTGCGTCATCTATTTTTGCAAAAAATGGCAAAAATAAAAAATCTAAAATTTTACATTTTTTGGCGGTTTTTTAATCACAGTTTCGCCAAATCAAGGCGTAGAGTTAAAAGGCCGACTGTTTTGAGCAGCTTGCTGTCCAAGCTAACGATCGCAATCAGTTAAGTGAAAATTTATTTTTTGACCAATTTTCGCATTTTTTTGAAGGGTTGCGTCATCTATTTTTGCGAAAAATGGCAAAACTAAAAAATCTAAAATCTTACATTTTTTGGCGGTTTTTTAATCGCAGTTTCGCCAAATCAAGGCGTAGAGTTAAAAGACCGACTGTTTTGAGCAGCTTGCTTTCTAAGCTAACGATCGCAATCAGTTAAGGGGAATTTATTTTTTGACCAATTTTCCCATTTTTTTAAGGGTTGCGTCATCTATTTTTGCGAAAAATGGCAAAAATAAAAAATCTAAAATTTTACATTTTTTGGCGGTTTTTTTATCGCAGTTTCGCCAAATCAAGGCGTAGAGTTAAAAGACCGACTGTTTTGAGCAGCTTGCTTTCTAAGCTAACGATCGCAATCAGTTAGGGTAAAATTTTTTTTTTTACCAATTTTCGCATTTTTTGGGGTTGCGTCATCTATTTTTTCGAAAAATGGCAAAAATAAAAAAATTGTAGGTTTGAATGCCAGTGGATTGGAAATTAAACTACGAGCTTAACGAGGTATGACATTCCTCACTCGGACGAGTTGTTGCATTACGGCAGCCAAAACACTGATTTATTAGTCGAAAAAATTAATTTAGGTTTTAGTCAAAAATACTACATTTTTAAGCGGTTTTTTAAACGAAGTTTGGACAAAACACTGGTTTTTAGATAGAAAAAACGAAAATCTGTTTTAAGTTTCAAATACTATTTTTTTAACGGTTATTCAATCGCAGTTCATCCAAACCAAGGCGCAAAGCTAAGATCTGCAATTTCAAGCCGATTGAATCATTAAAACCGAAGTTTTTTTAAAGCCCATTACTTGCAGAATTTCTAAATAATTTTTTACGAACTTCGAATTTTTTAATTAATGCCCAAGTGTATGCAATAGAAAATATATTTTAGTGCAAGGCGTTTTCGGAGCACCAAAAAGTATCTTTACATTATAATATAATGTTTAAATTCTCCTCAATCAAGGACACAAGCCATGCTAATTTAGTTCACCACGAAGCGAATTCGGGGCGAGCTCAGTATTATAGCCGTGCCCCAAACCAAGCTACAATGGTGAATAACATTGTTGGCGGAAAAACGGGCTACATTCAAATTCAATATATTATAATTCATATCATTCATTATATTTTTGCTACTCGCAATATTTGTTTTTCATAAAAACACAATTTAAACTCACAAATAGTGAATATTAAACATTAGTTAAATTTTCAATGATTTTCTGATAGATCTCCACACCTTTTAAGTACGTATCTGCATTGATGAACTCATCATGATCGTGCAAAAGAACTGGAGTGTTATTCATTGGAGAGAAGCCCAAAGCAGGAATGCCTACCTTCCGAATATGCCGACTGTCAGTGCCGCCAGGGAATACCTGAAGTTTGGTCGAAAGACCCCTGGAAAATAAACAATATTAAATCATAGTAATTTTAGTATACAAACAAAACTCACAATTCTTCAGTGGCACGTTTAAAGGCCACCCAAAAAGGGTTTGAATCATCTGTGACAGTTGGTGGAATGTGATCTTTTCTACTAATGTCAAGCTCAATTTCACCACCAGCCTCTTCGCACCATTTGTCTAACTGCAAGGTATGTATAACTTTAATTAAATCGGAGTTAAAATTACTTAATTGAAATACCCACATAGGCTTCGAACTCGAGGACTTTTATGTCCAAAGACAATCGAATATCAAAGCAGGCGGTTAGCATAGGAGGCACCACATTGCTCTGTACTCCCCCATCCACCGAAGTCAAGTTAATGGTGGTCACATCGCCAATCTGTAGTTCTGGATTATCCTTCAAGCGTTTCACTTGCCCTTCCCTGAACTCCATCAACTTGCTGGTTAAATAGCTGAATTTCTCGCCCGCCGTATTGGGCATCAAAAGCAAACCATGTCCTGCAGATCCACTAATTTTGAAAATCACACCTGAAAAATGCTTTATATTAGTCATAATCTCAAAAACATTTGTATTTTACTCACGTTTCACTGTACGTTCGGCATAGAAAACGGGAAACTCTGAAGTGGACGATGCAATTCCTTCATCTAAGGAAAACCCAATGTTAAGAAGCTTAAATTGCTTTGAGGAAACAAATGGTAACATTCCCTTTCGACCACCTAATTCCTCATCTAAAATATAAGATATGGCGTTTAAAAACTTTTGATACTTTAATGGATATTTACCTGGCACGAAGGAGATGTGAATTGTTCTCTTGAACCTTGATCCCTTTTCTTTTAAAGCCCTGATGGCCGCCAAATACTGCATTCCCACACACTTCATATCTTGTGATCCTCTGGCGAAAATGCGACCATCCTCATCGATATCTGCGCCAAATGGTGGATGAGTCCAGCTTTCAGGGAATACGGGAACTACATCCATATGAGAGTTCAGTAGAATGCTTGGCCATTCCTTTTCAGTACCCTCCCAAGTCAGAACCACCACGGGATTCTGTTTGTCGAATGGATAGTAGACCTTGATAGGTAGATCCAAGTCCTTAGCCTGACGCTTTAGAAACTCCACGCAGGGTGCTGATATAAATATAATTTAAGGGACTCTTTATTCACTAGTAAAATAAAATCTCCCTGATACCTACCATAGTCCGGATTCGGGTGAACACTTGGAATACGCAGATATTCGCGGAAATAATCTATCTCCTTATTGGAATCCCACTTCTTGGCGGCCATTGTGTTTCTATCTACAGCTCAGATATTACTGAATCCAATGTTAAAAAACTAGGCTAATGAAGCTTCCTATTCTATACTTTACTACGTTTATCTCTAGACGTTGTTATTATCTCAAGGCAAATCCATTATAAACACAAGCGATAGATGCCAAAGGTTTGTAAAAGATATCTCTTCAAGAAGTTTATTTTTATCTCATTACCATTATCATATACAACAAAGGGAAAAACAGTAGATAATGGGGATTAACTAGACATTAGCCACGTTGCTTATAATTTTTTGAATATCTGGATACCCCGTAGATAGATGTCTGCTTGAATGAACTCATCATGATCGTGGAGAAGTACGGGTGTCTTGTTCATGGGGGAGAAGCCCAAAGCTGGAATGCCAACAGCACGAATATACCTGCTGTCAGTTCCTCCGGTAAATATTTCTGGATTAATGGATAGTTTTCTGAAAAATAAATCGTGATTATATGATCAACAAAGATCGTCTTAGCTAGAAGGTATGCTTACAATTCATCGGTGGCATTTTTGAAAGCAACCCAGAAAGGATTACTATTGTCGATAGCAGTAGGAGGAACTTTAGGTTGTTTTTGTTCGTAGGTTATCTCGATGCATCCACCCACATCATCACACCATTTATGTAGCTATAAAAAAATATAAAGTCTTATTAATGAAAACTTAAGATCATCCCAGTACCTACATTAGCTTCAAACTCCTCTATATCAAGATCCAGAGCCAAACGACAATCGAAAGCCACCATCAACAAAGGAGGAACCACATTGCTCTGAACTCCGCCACTGACTTTGGTCAAATTAATGGTCGTCACATCGCCAATGACCAACTCAGGATTATTCTCTAGTCTCTGGACCTGAGTTTTACGAAACTCCATCATTTTTCCAACTATATAGTTGAGCTTTTCACCAGCAGTGTTCGGCAGCAAAAGGGATCCATGACCTGCCGATCCACTGATGTTGAAATACACACCTTTTCCGAGGAGTAAGTATTATAAAAATATAACAGTATCGTAAAAGTCTAGGGAACTTACGCCACACAGCCCGCTCTCCATAAAAAAGAGGAAAAACCTCGTTGGGGGATGCCAAACCCTCGTCCATTGCAAATCCCACATTAAGGGCGCGAAAATCATCAGTGGGCACAAAGGGTCGCATTCCATAACGACCACCCATTTCTTCATCTGATAAAAAATAATTATAATAATAGAATCTCGGTTTAATAACTTCCTATATCTACTAACCTGCTACAAAAGAGATATGGATAGTTCGTTTGAATTTGGCTCCACGTTTTTCAACGCCCTGATAGCTGCAAGATGCTGCATTCCCACACTTTCATATCCTGTGTTCCTCTAGCGAAAATGCGACCCTCCTCATCAATATCTGCTCCAAATGGTGGATGGGTCCAGTTTTCGGGAAATACTGGAACTACGTCCATGTGGAGTTCAGCAGAATGCTGGGCAACTCGGGTTGGAGACCTTCCCATGTCAGGATCACCACGGGATTCTGATCATTCGCTGGATAAAATACCTTAAGAGGCAGATCAATCTGCTTTGCCTGACGCCTTAAAAACTCGACGCATGGTTCTATAGAAGTTAAAATAAATATATTTGTAATTATATTCTCTTTTCCAAATCGTAATAAAAATAATTTATTATTATTATCAATGCACATGATAACGTTTGTTTCATCTTCCAGATACTAACTATAGTCCGGATCGGGATGAACACTTGGAATGCGCAGATACTCGCGGAAATACTGGATCTCCTCATCGGATTCCCACTTATTAGTGCACATTTTAATGGATCCCAAAGTTCTATGTATATACGATCCGTTGCAACTGACAGCTAGCAGCCTACTGACTTGTGTTAGCTAGTGTCCGAGTCGAGTTCCACTGCCCTACTACTAATAGACTTATCTTTCAATCTCCACGATCGTAACGCCAACGCGACACAAATAATTTTATCAAATTGAGAACGATAATTTTGGACGGTGGAAAACTCGTTTACGTAAAGTAGCTGGGGGATTACTTGTTTTATTCTATAAAAACAGTCGAAACTCTATGATTGGACACCCTGGCATCGAGTGTATTTCTCTACGGAAATGATTAAAGAAGAAAAAGTTGTGGATTTATTTTCAAAAATCTTTAGGTTTGAGGATGTCCTTATTACATAACTCAAAAGTTACTGGGAGTCATGTTTTTCCCTTATATTGTGTGTTCACTGTACAATTCTCACCGTGCACTTCGTTTGCCTTTTGTTCTCTCTGTTATCGTTTAAACTTTATTAGTAAATTTATTATAAGGTCGGTCGTTGGCTTCATTGTTTATATTTTTGTGAGGTTTGAAAGGAAGGACAATCATTTTTACCGAGCCACACATACTTAACGCTAGGGGAGGTTAGATTTATGCAATATGACCCTCTTGATTGAGATGATAGGCTAGAGCAGCTTCAAGATTGATCGATGAGGCTAAATGCAGTGGTTTCCCCTGCTTAGGCCCATTTAAAAATCATATTTAAATACAATAGGAAGTTTATTCATTACATTTACAATTACTTCATACATCTTGGTGTGTACAACGAAACTTAAAGATTCACTAGTGACTTATATGCAAAAATACCGAATCTTGATCTCTATTAGATCCTCAGGCCTTGCGCTCGAAAAGGACGGGGAAGGGCTTGTCCTTCGGCGCCTGCAGCCAATTGTCCTCTGAATACTTGACGTTGTTCTCAGTCTCGATGACGTGGAAAGTGTAGGCGTGTCGGCTTTTTTGCGACCGATTCGGCTCACTCTTATGCACCACATTTCCGTGGATGAGGATGCAGGTTCCTGAAAAGGGAGGTTTATTTAATAAGTATAATGTTAAATTTAATTTTCTTGTAATATATATAACATAGACCAAGTTTATCCTTTCAATATTGAAAAAATGAGAAGGCACAGAGAACAAAAAAATAGTTTCTAAACTAACCAACTTTTTATTTCCCACATTAAGTTACAAGGGTTAATGGAGAAACCCGCAAATATTTGATAATATAAGCCCAAAAATAGATCGTAAAAAGTTTCTACTGGTATAAAACAGCTTAACAAATATTTACTTTTGTCTTAAAGCATCATAAAGAAATATTTTAATTTAAATGATAAAAATACCCTTTAGTTCCTAAGAAATTTGGTATTTATCTTTAAACTAAGATCTCAATTCAAATGAAGAAATATATGAATATTAATTTGAATTAAAGTATTCAAACTGAAAATGTATATATGTTTGATATGTTTTTTCTGCGAAAGTTATGCATATATATTTTCTTTTGTAAACTCACCCTTGCTGACTTGCATTGGCGAGAAGCTGGACTGCGGATAGATGGGGGCTGCACGATCGTAGACCATCAGTTCGCTGGCATCCTTGTCGGGATTGCGGAGGTAGCGCCTGTGGACGCCGCTCTTGTGCGATCCCTTGATGAACTGCAGACAGCCGTTCTGCAGGGTGCAGTCCTCGAGGGCTATCCAAAAGCCCACCGCCGAGTTGGGGTCCGTGTGCAGGAACCACGAGTCCTGGTGCGGAGTTACCTCGCCGCCCACACCGGGATTCTTGTAGATGTACATGCTCTGGCAGACGGCAGGGCGATTGTAATTCAACTGCCAGCAGATCTCACGAACCCGGTTACTAAAAGTAATTGCATTGAAGGCGGGATGCTCTACGTGCAGGGCGTGACCCACTTTGTTCAGGGCAATCATGGGATCCACTAACAGCTGACCCTCCTCTCCCACTGCCCCCTTCTCGAAGAAGTAGCGCACCTTGTCGCCCGACTCCATGAAGTACAGCTCCTTGCCCTGGGCATCCTCCTGCTTGATGGTGCTGAAGATCTTCCGGTTATTCTGCGGAGCATCCAGACACAGAGCTCTGCCCGCCTGGAACAGGGAATCCACTTCCTCTGGCGTGAGGAAATCCTCGATGACAATGTAGCCATTTTCATTTAGCTGGAAATATGGAAGCGGGTGAAGGTCTCCGTTAATTCACGAAATAATCTTTATAAGCTATATAAGCTGCTTATCGCCTGCGCCGTCTCGTCTGGCGGACCCGGTAATCTCCGACCGGACTCTACGGGGGCTGGAGGTGTTATCGCACCAACTGACCGATTGACCGACTGCATAATGGGCACGCGCTTACTACTCGAACCCTGGGGTAGTCTACCATTATCACAAAAAAAAACATTGCGACAAGATAACAAAATAAACATCGAAATGTACTCATGGAGTTTTTTTACAGCATAATAATTTGAAAACTAAGAATTATTAGAACATACATTTGTATATTCTCTACAAGCAATATGATCTAGTCTCCACATTTAGAAGTACTTTAAAAATATTGACAAGTCTATTAGTTAAACATATTACTTAATCATAAAAACTATTATAATATACGATTTTTAAAAACAAAATTCAAAACCTTTTAGAGCACATTCTGAAACGACACAGAAATCTCTTCTGTTGAATTTATATTATAAGTAAATCCTAACAATTTTTCCTTCTTAGTAGTGTTTCCCTCAGTGTATTAGTTTACTTTGTTCACCTTTTTAACATTCGCTAATTAACAAATTCCCGTGCACGTCAAAATGTTAATTCTGCCTGACACAAACCCACAGACCAAAATTCGTGCTCATTCATTGAAATCAGTCAACGTAAAATTGAAAATTCACACATTCTCTTGTTTCTGTACTTTGAAAATGGGTATAATAGATGGGCTATCGCGAATGAGATCAAAACACCATAAAATGGCATCTAAACAAATAGTGATGGATGTTCGACTTGTTGTAGAATCAATCTCTTTTAGACTTATAACAAGCTTTTTATTTCCCGACTGAAGGGCAATAGTGTTTCGGCTTGGTAAACAAAAGATAAATATATCATTTTTGTTGTGGGTGCTCCTTCTCTCGTTTTTCTCCCGGTTTCTAGTGGCATGAGTGTGGTTAAATTAAATAAATTTAAATTGCTTGAGCGAGAATTTTGAAAATGAA